ATGTATCTAGGCAGAGAATTGTGGTATCATATGGTAACTTAATGTTGAACTCTTGTGGATCTGGGACTTGAACTCTTGGCCTTGCAGCATGCTAGACCAGGTGCTCTACCACTGAACTACACCCCAGCTCTTGAGGGTGGCTTTGGTTCCCACTTCCCAAGTGACTGATGCTGCACCGAACACCACCTTTTCCTGTGCTCATTGGCCATTTGTGGTCGTCTTTGTAGGAAAGTCTATGAGAGCGTCGTAAGAGTTCTTCATGTATTTTAAATAAAAATGTATATGTATGTATCTCTCTATAATCAGCAGATGTTTTCTCCCAGTTTGTGGAAGGAAATCTGTGGGGTTGTCTTTTAGCTCTCTTGGTTCTCTTCTTTGGAGTAAAGAAATGTTTGATTTCAGTGACTTTAAAGAGCTCACTGTGTAGGAGCATGGGCTCTAGGAGCAGGCCTGGGAACTAGGATGGTGCTAGGAGTGGCTTGCAGTGCTGCAGACGGCAGAGCCAAGGACTCCCAGGAAGGCTCTGCCAGAATTGGTGGGTATGTGGGGTTTGAAGCAGAGCTTATGGGTTAAGGGGATGGATTGTTGTGGAGGTGAGGGAGAGGGAGGAATCCAAGAGGAGTGAGTGCCAGGGTTTCCAGTTGAGCAGCACCAGATTCAGTCTGGTTATGCTCTTACCTACTTCAGAACTGAGACAGCTGTTAGTCCCTGTTAGAGTTAGCTTCAGCTGTCAACTTGACACACCTCAAAAGGGGGGCCTCGGTTGAGGAATTCTCTCCATCAGATTGGCCTATGGGGCATTTGCTTGATTGCTAATTCATGTAGGAGGGCCCAACCCAGTGTGGGCCTTGCCACCTCTGGGCAGGTGGGCCTGGGCTGCATAAAAAAGATAGCTGAGGCCGGGCGTGGTGGTGCATGCCTTTAATCCCAGCACTTGGGAGGCAGAGGCAGGCGGATCTCTGTGAGTTCAAGGCCAGCCTGGTCTACATAGTGAGTTCCAGGACAGCTCGGGCTACAGGGAGACCCTGTCTCAAAAAGACCAAAAAAAAGAAGATAGCTGAGCAAGCCAGAGGAAACAAGCCAGTGAGCAGCGTTCCTTCACTTTCTCTGCTCGAGTTCCTGCCTAGGCTTCCCTCAATGATGGACTGTGTAATCTGGAAGCCAAACAAACTCTTTCCTCTCCCAAGTTTCTTTTGGTCAGTGTTTTATCACAGCAACAGAGAAGCAAGTTAGAACAGCTCCCTCCTTAGACAAATACTTGGAAGTTGCTTTTGGAGTTGGTTCCGGGGATTGTGCCCCTCCACAGTACTGATTAAAACATCTTAAGCCTCCACCAATAGATGCCTAACTAAATCAAAATAGTAGTCTCTAAACAGTCCTCCTGAGGGCCCCTGGGAGCTGGGAGCTGGGCTGCAGTCTCAGAGCCCCTCCTTTCCACAGAACGTGGAGCTGTCAGTGAAAAGAACTGAACCAAATGAAGGGGTTTCTGGAAACTAAATGTAATTTGACAGAGCTACTCTAAGGGGAGAAAAGTTTTATTTTTCTTTTTGAGGCAGTGTCTGCCTGTGTAGCTCAGGTTAACTTCTACTTCTCCATCCTCCTGCCTCTACCTCCTGAGTGCTGGGACTACGGGCATATATATACATTTTGAAAGTTAACCTAAATTCCTTTTCTTACTTTAATTTCACTTTTTTTTAAAAAAAAATTTAATTTTTTATAAGACAGTCTCACTATGTAACTGGCTGGCCTGGATCACACAGAGATCTGCCTGCCTCTGCCTCCCAAGTGCTGGGATCAAAGGTGTATGCTACCATGCCCGGCCCATTTATTTATTTATTTATTTCATTCATTCATTCATTCATTCATTCATTCATTCATTTTGGTCTTTTTGAAACAGGTTCTCCTGTAGCCCCAGCTGGCCTGGAACTCACTGTGTAGACCAGGCTGGCCTTGAACTCACAGAGATCTTCCTGTCTCTGCCTCCCGAGTGCTGGGACTAAGGGTGTGCGCTACCATGCCCAGCCCCCTTTATTGTTTTTGGAGACAAGGTCTTACTGTGTAACCCAGGCTGGCCTAGAACTCATGGCAGTCCTGTCTGTTTCTAAGCACTGGGATTGCACACATGAGCACCCAGGCCTGACTGGCTTCCTCAGAGATCTTCACAGCTACCAGACAAAGTTCTGTGGTTTGGATACATGTCCCCCCCCCAACCCCCCAAATTTATATATTGGAAGCTTAGTCCTCAAAGTCATGGGTTAATTGTATTTGGAGGTGGGACCTTTGGGACAAGGTTAAGATTAGATCAGGTCATCAGTGTGGGACACCCCTCCCCGCCCCAGAATTGTTATTTCACATTCATGAGGGCCCAGAATTTTCTGGTCTCTGAACAGAAGTACAGATGGGGTCAAATGGGCCTTTTAAGTCATCGTTTTGAGACTGACACCTGGACCCTTGGACCCTGTGTCTCTTTTCATGTTGGGCCATGTTACCTGAAGAAAATGCTTCGTGAGTTCACCTGGTCATCATATCTTACAAAGTAGATACCCCAGGCATGGATCAGGATATCTGCCACAGCTAGGTCAGGTTAATTAGGCCAGGAATCAGTCATCACAGTTTACAAAAACATATCACTGGCAGAAGTTTAGGTATCTGTCATGTTATTTCATCTTTTTTTCCCCCCGGAGCTGAGGACCGAACCCAGGGCCTTGCGCTTGCTAGGCAGGCGCTCTACCACTGAGCTAAATCCCCAACCCCAAATATCTGTCATGTTTGATCTACACTTTTTTTTTTTTGGTCTTTTTGAGACAGGGTCTCCCTGTAGCCCCAGCTGTCCTAGAACTCACTATGTAGACCAGGCTGACCTTGAACTCACAGAGATCCTCCTGCCACTGCCTACCGAGTGCTGGGATTAAAGGCGTGCACCACATGTTACTGCAGAGTAGTGAAACATCTCAGCTGGGAGAGCATCACAGAGAAAAACAACATCCCTGAGTAGTAAAACATCCCAGGCTACATTTCAGGATGTCTGCCCGGTAAGTGAAACAGAAGGAAACTGCAGAATAGTCTTAAGCTGAAGATTATATATGAACACAAGAAGTTATAAGAATATTACTTTTTCTTATCAGTATCTGGCCACTTGGGGTTTATAGACGTGTGTGTACAGGAAAGCAAGATGTGGACAAAGCAAAGTAAGAGGCATGCTAGGGTTGCTGTGCTGGGGAGGGTGGTTGGCAAGACCTTGTGAAAGAGGGGCATTTTAGTAGATACCCACTGTTGAGGCCCTTCAGCAAAAACTGAGTGGCCTCTTGAAAGAGAGAGCATTGAAGGACCCTTAGGTGAAAATGAGTTTGGTGAATTTGATCAGAAGAGGACCAAAGAGTTGGTCAGCCAAGTATGCAGTTGTAGAAAACTCAAGTTCAAAGTGAGAGTAAAACTAGTATCCTAAGAATTTTCTGAGGAGGACTCACAAAGCTTCCTGGAGCCTAAAATTGTGAATTATGAATTTAGGTTAAATCAGTGTCACTATGTCTCTGTCAATTGCTGTGAACTTAAAGGGAAAATAAATACAAGGCTCAACTGTGTAGTCTCCACAAGACCCCCCTTCAGTGCCACCTTCTGAAAGTGGGGGATGAGGCCACCTACCTGCTAGGGAGAGGGAAAGGATTAAATGACTGTGGGTACACTGCATTAGGTGAGGTTGTTGGGTGAAGGTGGCTAGGTATCTTAATAAGTGCAAGGAGGCACAGGACTCCTCGTGGGGCAGGTGTGTGTTGTTTCCAGACACTGAGGTGGATTTTGGCTGTGGGCAACCTCACCACATGGGAAGCATTTTTCTGAGTCTGGTGTGGATTCACTGTTCTACTACAGACTTTCTCCTGTAGCTCGTTAACCAGGTGGACAGGTGGACTTCATTGCTCTGGGTGCTTTTAGTAGAGTTGTCGCACGCGCGTGCATGTGTGTGTGTGTTTGAAACAACTGGGGTTTATTAAGAAAAGGTGAAAATTCTTTTGTTTTTGAGACAGTGTCTCCACTGTAGCCACAGGCTGACTGGAACTCACCACGGAGCCCAGGCTCACAGAACTCAAAGCAACCTTCTTGCCTCAGCCTCCTGAGTGCTGGCATTAAAGGTGTGAGCATCATGGCCAGCTCAGAAAAGGTTTTAAAAGGGATTTAGGTATGGACATTAGGGGACGAAGAGAGGGGTGCTTAGGAAAGAGCAGGCAGTGCACACCCAACAGTGGCATCGGCGTCTAAGAGAGTTGCCTCCAGTCTCACTTATTTTTTGTGTATGAGTGTTTTGCCTGCATGTATATAAGTTTGTGCAGTGCCCACAGAGGCTAGAAGAGGTCATCAAATCCCCTGGAATTAGAGTTACAGACCTTTGCTAGCTGCCATGTGGGTGCTGGAAACCAAACACCAGTCCTCTGCAAGAGCAGCCTGTGCTCTTGACCACTGAACCATCTCTCCAGCCCCTCCAGGTCCACTTTAATCCACACTAATCCTGCAGCTTATCGGAAGTCATGGTTAATTCCTTGTAGTTTTGTGTCTCTTCCTTGGGCCCTCTGACTAGATCATAAAGTTGAGAACTGTGCTTTGTGCTGTTGCTCCTCTGTGATAGTGACTAACAGATTAGAGGCTAGTCCTTACGGAGGTGCATTCTGAATTAAAATGTAAACTCTTCCTTTATTTTCTCAGTTTAAGTTCCAGCTGCAATTCCTTTTTTTAAGATTTATTTTTAAATTATGTGTGTGTATGCATGTCTATGTTGTGGGTATGTGCACAGAAGTGCAGGTCATCCCCTGGAGCTGGAGTTGTGGGTAATTGTGAGTAGCCCGGTATGGTTGCTGGAGGCCCTAAGAGCAGAAGGTGCTTTTAGCCACTGAGCCATCTCCCTAGCCCCTCCAGCTTCAATTCTTTAATAATCTTGTCTCCACTATTAAACATGATTACTCTTTGGCAGGACTAGGCATTGCAAGAGTTACAGTGTTACATTTTTGTAGCCCGCAGGATTCCTTAGATGAGGAGTAAACATTCCTTCTGCTGGAAGAACATCTGTGGGAACCTTGGCCATGGCCTCAATATCTGAGGCTGTTACATTCCGAGAGTTCTGCCCTTTGTACTATCTCCTCAATGCCATCCCCACCAAGATCCAGAGGGGCTTTCGTTCTGTTGTGGTCTACCTCACAGCCCTGGACACCAACGGGGACTACATTGCAGTGGGCAGCAGCATTGGCATGCTCTACCTGTACTGCCGGCACCTCCACCAGATGAAGAAGTACAACTTTGAAGTGAGTCTTTTCTTTGCATCTTAGTATGTACCAGTCATAGCTGATGTTTAGAATGTTTGTGTTCTAGCAGTGTTTAACCTGGGATAATTTATTTGAGTTGCTAGAATATGGCTATACTTCACTCAAACAGTATTTAGACATATTTTTTTTTAAACTGAGTGGAATGTAAACATTGGTGTTTTGTTTTTGTTTTTGTTTTTGTTTTGTTTATTTTGGTCTTTTTGAGACAGGGTCTCCCTGGAGCCCCAGCTGTCCTGGATTCACTATGGAGACCAGGCTGGCCTTGAACTCACAGAGATCGCCTGCCTCTGCCTCCTGAGTGCTGGGATTAAAGGCGTGTGCCACCACGCCTGGTTAACATTGATGTTTTTTATACAACACACACACCCCATCTCCAAAAGTCTTTCATCACTTAAAAAAAAAAATTTTATTTTTTGGTCTTTTTGAGATAGGGTCTCCCTGTAGCCCCAGCTGTCCTGGAACTTACTATATAGAATGGACTGGCCTCGAACTCACAGAGATCCGCCTGCCTCTGCCTAAAGGCATGTGCTACCATACCCAGCCAATTTTTATTTATTTTTATTTTATGTATATGAGTGTTCCTCATTCATGCATGTAAGCACATACATGTTGTACAATGCCTATGAAAGCCAGAAGGCATCAGATCCTCTGGGAACTGAATTACGGATGGTAATACCATGTAGGTATTGGGAACCAGACCTGTGTCCTCTCCAAGAGAAACCAGTGTTCTTAACCACTGAGCTATGTCCAGCCCCCTATTCTAAACCTTTAATATAGTAATATATGAACTTTTTTTTTTTTTTTTGACTATTTTGTCCCACCTGGCCTGGAACTCACTATGTAGACCAGGTTGGCCTCAAACTCATAGAAATTCACCTGCCTTCACCTACCAAGTTCTGGGATTGAAGGCATGTGCCCCCACACCCAGCATAGGAGCTCATTTTTATCTTTACAAAATCCCCATGAAGGATTATCATTTACATTTAAGGGCTCAGTGGTTGGGAGCACTGGCTGTTCTTGCAAAGGACTCAGGTTCAGTTCCTAGCACCCACATGAGAGCTACAACCATAACTCCAGGACCAAGGAATTCAGTACCCTCTTCTGATCAACTTGGGCATTGCACAACCTGGGTGCGCTTACATGCAGGCAAAATACTCGTACATGTAAAACAAAAATAAATATATAAATTTTTGCTGGGCGTGGTGGCACATGCCTTTAGCTGCAGCACTTGGAAAGCAGAGGCAGGTGGATCTCTGTGAGTTTGAGGCCAGCCTGGTTTACATAGTGAGTTCCAGGACAGCTGGGGCTACAGGGAGACCCTGTCTTAAAAAACAAAAAACAAAACCAATAAATAAATAAATAAATAAATTTTTAAAAGATCTTGATGTATCCGGGGCTGTCCTGGAGTTCACTATGTAGTCTAAACTGGCCTCAAACATGTAACCCTCCTATATCAGCCTCTGAGATGCTGGGTTATAGGCAGGTACCACCACACAACTCCTATCACTATTTTTTCTTTGAATAATTTTTCATGGTTTGACTGTTGAAGCTCCCCAAACACTGAAGATCGTTACACAATTAATCTTTAAACTGTACTTAGGAATTTAGTGTATCTAAAATTTCTCAAAATCTTAACAAGGAAAGCTTATTAATCAAAATGAACCCTAGCAGGATAAACTGATGAATCTGTTGTCAAGAGACATCAGAATCAAACTGTTAAAGATTTTAAAACAAAACAAAAACCTCTTAAAATTAGCCAGAGTGGGCTGGAGAGATGGCTCAGTGGTTAAGAGCATTGGCTGCTCTTGTAGAGGACCCAAGTTTGATTCCCAGCACCCACACAGCACCTAACAACCGTCCAAACTCCAGTTTCAGGGGAATTCAGTGCCCTCTTCTGACCCCTGTGGACATTGCATGGCACAGGTACACTTACATGCTGACAATATACCCATACACATAAAAAAATAATAAAATGTTTTTAAAAATAGCCAGAGAAAAATGACCTATTATCTGCAGGGGATGATGGTTTGAATAACTGTAGCTTTCCATCAGAAATCAGAATACAGCAGCGCAGTGCTCTGAAAGGATAGCCTACCGGGTGTACTGCCACACACCTGTTGTCTCAGCTATGTGGGAGGCTGAGGTAGGAGGATTGTGAGTTTGAGGCCAGCCGGGTCTACATGGCAAGTTCCAGACTAACCGGGGCTATACAGCAAGACCTTGTCTAAAGAAGAAAAGAGGAGGAGGAAGAGTGAAACAAAGTACTCTCAGATGAAGGAGAGCAGAGTGTTGCCGGACCTGCTCTGAAGTCACTGTTCTCCAGACAGAGGGAGCACATCAGGAATGAAAGAAAGTGAAATAATAGTAATAAGATAGTTTGTTTGTGGGGCTGGAGAGATGCTCAGTGATTAAGAGCATTGGCTGCTCCTGCAAAGGACCTAGGTTCTATTTGCAACACCCACATGCAATCAACAGCTGTTCTTAACTCCAGTTCCAGGGGATCCAATGCTCTTTTCTAACCTCTTCAGGCATTGCACACATGTGTTGTGCTTACATGCAGGCAAAACACTCATAAAACCAAAATCATTTTAAGATAGATTGTTTCATTGAGTTCTTTAAAATAAATTTGATAATCGAAAGCAAGAAGTATAACTTCCGTTTTCAACATGTGGATGCAGGCATGTGTAAGACAGGTATAACATGGGTACTGTATGGTACTAAAGTTTGTATATTCTATTTGAAGAAGTAAGCATTGAAACGTTAAGTATATTTGGGCTAGTAGTGTATCTCAGTGGTAGAGCACATACTTAGCATGTGGAAGGTCCTGGGTTCAGTCTCCTGTGCATGTGTACTCATGCATACAAAGTTAACTATATAGGTATTGTAACCTCTAGAGCAACAGTTTTTTTTTAAATCTCTGTAATGAGGTATGGTAAAATTTTCAATAACTGTATCAAAATGAAATTTTAACTCCTAGGAAATTAGGCAGGGGCAATAGAGAAAGGAAAAACAGAAAACAAGTAAACTGGTAGACCTAATCCAAACATACCACTAGTTACATTAAATGCAACTCATCAAAAAATATCATTTAAAAGAGGGAAATTTTAATGCAGATTTTTTTTTTTTTTTGGTCTTTTTGAGACAGGGTCTCCCTGTAGCACCAGCTATCCTGGAACTCACTATGTAGACCAGGCTGGCCTTGAACTCACAGAGATCTGCCTGCCTCTGCCTCCTGAGTGCTGGGATTGAAGGCGTGCACCACCATGCCCGGCTTAATGCAGATTTTTAAAAAGATAAAGTCAGGCATAGTAGAATGTGCCTGTAACCCAGCACTGAGGGAGAAGGTTCCTGAAGCTCATTGATAGCCAACCTAGCTGAATTGATGAAATTCAGGTACAGTGAGAGACCCTGTGTCAGAATATAAAGATGGTAGACTAAAAGATAGCTCATCAGGTAAAAGTGCTTGTTGCCAAGCCTAAACACTTCTGTTTGGGGGCTGGAGAGATAGCTGAGCAATTAAGAGCACTGACTGCTCTTTCAGAGGACCCAGATTTGATTCCTAGCACTCACATGGCAGCTAATGACTGTCTGTAATTTCAGGAACAGGGAATCTGATGCCCCCTTCTGACTTGCACAGGTCAGTACTGCACAACACTTGTAAGTATGTAAGTACGTATACATGCAGAGAAAACACTCATGCACATAAAATTTAAAAATATTTTAAAACATTTAAAAAATTTAAAACAAATAAAAGTTTTACAAGGTGGAGAGCAATTGGGGAAAGACACATGATATCAACCTCTGGTCGTCACATACATATGCACACATGTGCACATGCACCACATGCATACATGCACACATCTACACTAACAAGTACATATAACACACACAACACAGTACATATACAACATACCACACAGAAATAAACAAAAGATGAAAAAATTAAAGCCTTAGTCAGAAATTCAGTCAAAATATCATATCTGTAAAGTGCTTGTTATGGAAATGTGAGCTCAGTTCAGATAAAATGGCAAGGCTGTAACTGCAGCACTGAGGGCAGAGACAGAGGGATCCAAGGGGCTTGCTGGCTGTTGCACTAAATCCCCCCCCACCCCCCAGACCCACAAGCTCTCATCTGGGATTCTAGGGTCACGCAGTCCTAACTCAGATTGACAAAACCGACATGATACATTCTTTTGGGGATTTTGCATGGTTTATGACAGCCAGGAAAGGGTGACTTACAAGGGCATGAACTCCCACAGGCCCATTTTCTACACTTTGGCTAAGCTTTGAGATCTGAGTCACACAAATGGCAAGAGATCTGCCTCATGGCTTTCCCTGGTTTATATATCCTTAGCCCCTCACCTTCATGCAGACTCCTTCCACAGAGTGTGGGAAGGAGGTGGGACTGTAGCTTGCCGTCGTAGTGGTGGAGGAGCTTCCAGGTTACATTGGCCAGCCAGTCTAGCCCAAACAGTCTAGCCCAGGTTCAGTGAGAGACCCTGTCTCAGAAAATAAAGAGCAATAAAGAATCTGGTCCAGCCAGGGTTACATAGCAAGGTCCTGGGCTGGGTGTGGTGGCGCATACCTTTATCCCAGCACTTGGGAGGCAGAGACAGGTGGATCTCTGTGAATTCAAGGCTACCCTGGTCTACATAGTGAGTTCCAGGCCAGCTGGTGCTACAGGAAGACCCTGTCTCAAAAACAAACGAAAAACAACAAAGAATGGGCTAAAAGATGGAAGCTGGATATGGTGATGGTGGTACATGCCTATAATCCCAGCACAGAAGGTGGAAGCAGGAGGATCAGGTTTTCAAGGCAAGCTTTGGTCACATAGCAAGTTCTAGGCTTGCCTGGGCTGTGTGAGACCCTGCTTCAAAAAGGAAAAAAAAAGTGAAAAGATAAACCATATAAACCCCAATCAATAGGACATTGGAACAGATGCATTAATATCAAGGTTGTCTTTTTTTTTTTCTTTTTTT